AAGAAGTATTTATTGAGCACCTACTGTGTGCCTAGGGGTATAACAGTAAATCAGACGGATGGGATCACAGCTGTGCTGGAGCTCCACATGGTTTAAATCTCCACTGAAAAAAATCAGCAGTAGACTAGGTTAAGCAGCGGTGGGCTAAGACGAGCCATGAACAGTGCAAGAACTGGGTGCCACCAGGACTTTGAAGGAACTGCAGCGGTTGAAATCACAGGATGCCAGTGATGTCTGCGTAAAAGCACTTCTTGAATTTACCATCCTCTGTAATTATTTGTTTATATATCTATTGAAAAAGGGTATTATTCCTGGGCAACTGGAAACATGCCCATGTAAGAACTCCATATACCACTCTGACTTTAATTTAGTAATACATTTTGCCCTAGAAATGTACAAAAAGTACATTTTTATTGTTCCAGTTTGACTCCAGAGCAGTGTGAACCTTTCCTGCTGATTACAATTACAAAGTAGACAAAATGCAAAAGCAACTCTCTGAGAACACTGAAAAATAAAAGCAGATGGACTGTGGAAAAGCAACCTAGACAGAGGGATGAAGGCAAAATAAAACCATTCTCAGATGAAAAAAAAAAAAATTCATCGTCAGCAGGCTTCCTCTACAAGAAATGATAAAGGAATTCCTCATACTGAAGGGAAATGATACCAGAAGGAAATTTGCATCTCTGAAAATGAAGAGCAACAAATGGTAAATATCTAGATAAATATAAGACTTTTCCCTCATAGTCTTGAACTATTTCGAAATCTATGTATACATTTTTGTTGAAAGCAAAAATGATACCATTGTCTGGTGAGGGTTTCAATATATGTAAATGTAATCCATATGATAACTATATCATAGAGGTTGGGGGTTAAAGGACCCATTGGTTGCCATGCTTCTACATTTTATACAAAGTGGTACAGCTTTTATTCTAAGCAGACTGAAAAATTAGTTATGTGTATTGTAACTGCTAGAGCAACTACTTAAAAAACAAAGAAGGAAACCCAAAGAGGTAATAGCTTAAAAATCCAATAGATCAAAATATTCGAATAACCCCAAAGGCGGCAAGAAAGGGAGAACAGAGGGGCAAACAGAAAACATATAAAATGGTAGACCTAAATCCCTCCAATCAATAATTACATTAAATATTAAGTCTCTCAACAGTCCAGTTATAAGACAGAGATTGTCCTTGACTTCATGAAGGGTCCAGTCTAACAGAGGAGATAAACATTACATTAAAAATGACATATACATATTTTTAAATAACAATTGTAACGTTGCAACAGCATAGTACAGGACACTCAAGCCCAGTCAGGGAAGGAGTCCCACAGTTAAGAGATACTTAAAGAGTGAATGGGGGGTGACTGGTTAGCTTAGTTGGTTAGAGTGTGGTGCTAATAACACCCAGGTTGCTGGTTCAATCCCCACATGGGCCACTGTGAGCTGTGCCCTCCTTAAAAGAGTCAACTATGCCATCGTAGCATGAAAGCCATGTGTAACCAATGACAGTGGCTGTTCCCCAATTATAAAAAAAAAAAAAGTGAAGGGGACATTGTCAAAGAAAGTGGGAGGAGAAGATTCCAGGCAGCATCTGTAAAGGACCAAATCTGTTAGTAGCCATGTTCAAGGAACTGAGAGGCAGGCAGCAAATTCCAAGTTCAGTAAGACAGTGGTGGGACGCTGGAGAGGCAAATGGGCGTCAGGTCATATCGAGTCTGACAGGCCATGTTCAGGATCTGGTCTACATCCCAGAGCAACTGCAAACTGCTGAGGAGCTTTAAGTAGACAATTTAAGGACAGAAGTTCCTCACTCCCTGATAGCGAAGAGGATTTTTAGGCCACGTATTATGATGCGGAAGTGATAGATACCAATCCTGTGTTTCTGAGATAAGGTCCTGTCTGTTAATCAGGGTTTAATTTAGGGGTCCTAGAGAAATTGACTTGTTTGACCTATGTTCCCCCATGAAGTCAGAATGATGAACAGTTCCCAAGATTCCAGGGTTGTGTTAGAAATACTGGGCTTAGGAGGGCGGCCGGTTAGCTCAGTTGGTTAGAGTGCTGTGCTCATAACACCAGGGTTGCCAGTTCGATCCCCACACGGGCCACTGAGTTGCACCCTCCACAACTATTGGGTTGTTGAAAACGTCATGACATATTTTTTCTGTTTTTCGTTGCAAAGATGTGTCACGACTTTTCCAACAACCCAATAGATTGAAACAACTACTTGACTTGGAGCTGATGGGTCCTGCAAGAACACGCTGTTCCCCAATAAAATTTAAAAGGAAAGGAAGGGAAGGGCAGGGAAGGGGAAGGTAGGGAAGGGAAAAAGAAATATTGGGCTCTGGAAGGGCTGCTGAAGCTGTACTATGATGAGTAGAGACTTTTTAAAAACACGCTTTTTGGTAAACACGTAGCCAGGCAGCCTTGAGGAAAGTGGCTGTTTGTAGACTTTGTTCCTACGTCAGTCAGATCCAGTGACTTATTTACATGTATGAATTCACACTTAATCTCAACAAAAAATCATTTTGTTCTCCAACAACCCCGTGAGGCAGTCTAGATTCCCCCACCCATTTTTCAGATGAGACTGAACCTGTAAGGGAATTTGTGTGTTCATGGGCATGGTGGTGACAAACGTGGCTTTGAGGCCAGCGCTGGGTTCAGAACCTGGACCCCCCACTTCCTAGTGAGGTGCCCCCCTGGGCAAGGTCACTTCACCTCCCAATTTCATAGGTGAAACATGGTATCCCATTGTTCCCAGGTTACTATTTTTTTCATATATATTGTTCTTTTGTGAACTCATGCATACATTCACAAGTTTTTTTGGTTGGATTGTTTTGACCTTTTTAGGAATCATTTATGAGTCTACGCCTGTTTTAGACAAGGAAACATTACTGTAATGCCTCATAAATCTTCAGAGTGTAATTTAAAAAGTACCGTGGTTAGCAAGATCCAAGTCTCAAAAAGGGGCAACCAGTTAGCTGTTGGTTAGAGCGCAGTGCTCATAATACCAAGGTTGCCGGTTCAATCCCCACATGGGCGGCTGAGCTGCACCCTCCACAACTAGATTGAAACAACTACTTGACTTGGAGCTGATGGGTCCTGGAAAAACAGTTCCCCAATAAAAATTTTTTTAAAAAAAGTCTCAAAGAAAACAGGAGTTTAGAAAGAATAAATGATTTTAAATATACACAAATAAAGTAAAATGTTTTCAAAGTCTGAGAAAACTGGTAAGGGCATGGAAAAAGTTACTTTCATATTCCACTGACGTGAATATAATCAGGTGATCTTTTTGGAGGGTGGTTTGTCTGTATCAGCATTGAAAATGTATATATCAGCTGATTATTTCAATGCTATAAATTTATTCCACTAAATTACTTGCAAAAACATTTTATACATATGGGGTTGGACAATTCAGTTCGCAGACTCATCCTAGAAAAAGTGCTATATGCCTCATTGCTGAATATCACTAGTCACCTTCGAAGTACTCCCCTTGGGAAGCTATGCACCGAAGCCAGTGCCTAGTTCACACTTCAAAGCAATTTTGGAACTCTTTTTTCTGGAATGGCCATCAGAGCTGTCATATTACCCTTGATGTCCTGAATGTCATCAACATGTCTTCAATATTTCCTTTATCTTTGGGTAAAGATAGAAGTCTTTGGGGGGCAGATCAGGTGAGTAGGGAGGGTGTTCCAATAGTTACTTGTTTACTGGCTAAAAGCTCCCTCACAGACAAGTGTTATGTGAGCTGGTGCATTGTCATGATGCAAGAGCCATGAATTGTTGGTGAATAGTTCAGGTCGTCTAACTTTTTCATGCAACCTCTTCAGCACTTCCAAATAGTAAACTTGGTTAACTATTTGTCCAGTTGGTACAAATTCATAATGAATAATCCCTCTGATATCAAGTTAGCAACATCGCTGCAACAAGTTCGCAAACTTAATTGTCAGACCTGGTAGTTTGCTGAAGCACTTTATAACAGCAAATAACTGGAAATAATCTAATCACAGTAGGGAATTAGACTGATTAATTATGGAATATCCATAAAATAGAATATTTGTTCAAAATAATGACATTAATTGTGGTGACCTGATAACCAAAGATATAGTACCTGAAGGTACATTAAATATGGAAAGATTGAGAACTACACATACCAGTGTTAAGGATAAATATGTATTGATAGATACATACTGATAGGGATATTTACATTTTCTTGTGAAAGAAAACTGGTAACTGCCATTGAGACGGGAAGGTTAAAGACATTTTCTTCCTGTACTGTTCACCTTGTCTAAAACCGTGTGCATGTATTATTTTCACATTTATTTCTAAGGTCAACAGGGTGGTCGTTTTCTTTACTATTGTTTTATATTTTTTAAATGAATTTTAAAACCCTAAAGTTAAAAAATAATTACTCTCCTTTATCTGTTCCCAGACATGACATGCGGCCACATTTCCAAGTGTTTCAGAGAAGGGCCACAGTGCAAGATAGGGGAAAGGCCCAGCCTGGCTTAGCACCTGCCAGGCCTAACTCAGGATCCTGTCTCCATCACAGACCAGGTCAGTGACTCAGACCGTCAAACACCTCCTTTCCTTTCTTTTGGTTCATCAAGTGTTGAGTGACCTGTACCCAACCCCCACCCTTTGGTGCTGCTTCTGTATGAATTATAAGTCAGAACAAAGAGAGGTGGAGGCTATTTCTGAGCTGTTGTTATGGTGTCGATATAACTACACCATAGGGGATACTTACAAAGGGCAAAGGTTCTTTTTGAGCAAGACTTGGCTAAGGCTTTGTGATTTAAAAAAAAAAAAAAATCCAGTTTAAATTAATAGTTGCTCCTGTTAGAGGTTAATGGCATGTGTGTAAGTGTGGACCCTCCGTACAGTCCCTGAATCAAGCCCCAATCCTTACTGCTGGTCAGGGAAAGGGATAGTCACCCTTAGAGGTTGTCTCTTGACTTCCCACATTTATGAAGCCCCATACACAAAAGCGCAAAATAGCTGGAGGCCCAGTTTGTCCACGCAGAGTTTTTATTTTTAGTCAACTCTAAGCAAATAGCAGAATTAACACATTTAGCAACTCCAGAACAGCTTTTCTTACACCAGTGAAAAATGATCAATATAACAAGCACAGGCTGACGGATTTCTGATTACCACACCCCACCCTGCAGCGCGTCTAGACAGCAGTGCCTCAAACAGGAAAGCGAATGTCCCCACTGCTTTTTCCAGTACTGCTCTTTAAAGGCCCCAAAGTAGGATACTGACACCTAGTAACTAATCCGGGACGTCCCATATTGGGGGCTCGCGGGTATGCCCATCTCCGGCTGTCCGCCGAGAGACAGGACCAGGAAAACACATCTCAGAAGGTGCCACCATGCGCCATTCTGGACTCGGGCTCACAAAGACAAGAAGCAATAGATCTTTCTTTTTTAGCCCCTTAAAGATTTTTCGATGCTCTGCTCTATTACTGTAGACCTGTTCTTCTTACCTACAAATTTTTCTTTAAATTCTGGGTTACTAATCTTATATTAACAATCTGATGACCCCATCATAGTACCATAATATCCCCCAAAATGGAGTTCATACTTGACCAAAACATAAACCAGGGTGTGTAACCCTGTACAATTTTAAGGGAGAGGCAGAAGGAAAAGTCACCCTAAACCACTACCTGCTCAGGTCTCACCTGAGAACGGGAACTGGGTAGAGGAGAATCTACATGCATCACTGAACTTGAGAAAACTGCTGGGGCCTCCGGGGCCATTTCTGTCTCCTGGCTTTCCTCTACTTCCCAGACAGCTGCTCATAGAGTTTGGGCACATAGTCATCCCACTCCGCCTGGTAACACGAGCCGGCCACCGGGGACCCGAGCCCGTACTTCTTGCGGAAAGCTGCCACCTTGAATTTGCCACGGTGGTCTCCCGATCGGTTGCTGAGAATGGGCTCATCACACTTGAGCGGCTTGTCCTGCTCGTAAACCAGCCAGACGTAGCGGTGAAGGCCTGGAGGGAGAGACGGGCGGGAAGATGTACACACCGGGCACCCAGCTGGCATCTGATGGAGACATCACCCATTTTCATAGGATGTACCAACACGCGGGGACCCAGACCACCCCACTTTTCCAAAGACACTGAGAACCCAGAGAGGTAGAATGAGTCAGGTCACTCAGCTGCTGAAAATCACCAAGTGTCTCTCCACTGCAACTGGTATGAAGTCCACGCCCCGCGTTACAGCCTCTAAGGACCCGCGGGGTCTGGCCTTGTTCACCCCTCCTCCTGCATCCCACGCCAGGATTCACCCCTCCCCCGTCGTTGCCCACCACTCCATCAGACTGCCCCTTTTACTTGTGCCACAGAAACTCTGCTATCTAACGTTCTTTTCAATTCAATCTCCCTGCTAGTGAGATTCATAAAGCTATGGCGTTTGTCGTGTTGACCATGATCACCCTGGAACCTACCTAAGTGCCTGGCACATAGGAAGTGCTAAAAATATATAAGAAATGGATGACGGACACGGCAAATCACTCATCATACCAGGTACTCATCAAACCATAAACCTACACAGACTAAAGGAGAACATTGTCTTTCTACCTCCAAAACTCACTTCCATAGAAGACAAGAGACCTGCTTGGAAGGAAACGACCCCAACTCATTTACACCAACTAAACAGTAGCAAAGAATGTTTAAAACAAGCCAGCAAGCTTTCTACAAGTTCCAATTAAGTACTGGATACAAACAAGTGCTGAGTTTTTTTTAGGTTATTTCAAGAAAAGTTATTCCAATATCTGTACACCCATGTTCATTGCAGCATTATTCGCCAACCCAAATATCCACTGATGAATGGATAAACAAAATGTGTTTATGCCTACACGCATGCGCACACGCACCTATTATTATTCAGCATTAAAAAAGAAGGAAATCCTGTCACTTGCTACAAGGATGAATTTTGGTATGAATCTACATGGATTTTTAAATTTAAATTTGAAGATCTAATTGGCTTTATTAAGCTATTCATGAATTCGGCAGCATCTCAACTAGCAACTAGTAGGGTGCTCCTACACGGAAGGGTGCATTGTATGGATCTATTAGGTGGTCGGGAAAGTCATGACGCATTTTTGCAACAAAAAACAGAAAAAATACATCATGATTTTTCCAACAACCCAATACTGAAACTTGCATATACTGCTGACTAGTGTAAAATTTTTCAACCTTGGAGAACTCTTGGGCAATTTCTATGACCCAACAATTCTACTCTTAGGTATTTACCCAAGAAAACTGGAAACCTATGCCCACAAAATGACAGGAATGTGTATAGCACCTTTATTCATAATATCCAAATGCTGGAAAAAACCTAAATGTCCACTAACAGGAGAATGGCTTCATGAGCTGTGGTATATTCGTACAATGGAATACCACTTGACAATAAAAAGAAATGAATTACTGATACAAACAATAACATGAATGAATCTCAGACATTATCTCGACTGAAAGAGACCAATCGCCAAAAACAAATGCATACTGCAGGATAGCATTTGCATGAATGCAAAAGTAATCTATGGAGACAGGTGTCAGAAAATGGTTAGTTCTGGGAAAATCTGACTTAAAGGGTGTGTGCATTGGTCAATCTTCATTCATTAAACCCTTACAATCTGTGCATTTTTATTATATATGTTACACCTTACTAAAACAATATGAAAAAAAATGAGTCACTGAGGCTTTTTTGTTGAGAACACAGCTCCTACTTGAGAGAATTGCTTTATTCTCATGGGTGTACTTCTCATAATTAAACTGCCTAATTTTATAACTGCCCTAGAGACCTTAATAGATTCCTGGGAAACATGTATCTTTACCTTCCTTTTATGGATGCCTGAGATGGCTGAGGCCACCTGAAACTTCTGAGTCTGCAGATAAAACATGAGTCGATAGCCAATGGTCCTTGTACCTCTTCAGACTAACTCATGGCTGGACAATGTGTGCAAAAGCTTGTGTGCTGCCATGCTCCACCCACCACCACTTCCTTGTTGCAGAAAATGGAACTATCCCATAGTGCACAACAGGCAGTAACAGTGCATGTCCACCATTAGCTTAGGCAGCACTTATCCAACTTGGAGTTTCGACACTGCATTCGGTCTCTCCATGTGTGTGTGTGTGTGTGTGTGTGTGTGTGTGTGTGTGTGTGTAAAACATTAACACAATATGTGTATATGTGTGCATGTGTTATGTTCAATATAGTTCTTAAAGTCTTCCAGATCTTTTCAAGATATCACACTTGATTCTCAAGAGAAAAAGCTATAAAGCAATAAAGAAGCCAACTTTTAATAATTAATTTGGAAACTATGATCATTTCCGAGAACTTTTATGGGAACTAGAAGCTCAGCGATCACATGGGGCAAAAGCTGAATATAGAACTTAGTTCAATCCATGTGCAGCCCTGCAAGAAGCCATTCCAAGCATTCTGCAACACTGCTTCCTGTCTTCTCACCACTTTCCTGCTTATTAAAGGCCTAGCAGCTAAGAGGTAATGCTGCAGAGAGTCCGCCTAACCAGAACCCAAGGTTCCAGCTCCCTGACTACTGCCTTGGAGGTGAACTACATTGCCTGACATCTCCACTAGGGTCAGGACTCTCATAAATAAAAGAATAAAGCTCTAAGAACCAGACTAAGACTTGCAGCATTTTAGGCCAATCTTAATGTCCACCCATGCTCCCCTCCACCTCCCCCTAAAAGCAGCCTTTACTGACCTGTGCCCTTGGGAGGTCCAGAGCCCACGTAATCAGAAAGGACCGTGCCACTGCTGATGTCATTGCCCTTCATATTGACCACCAGAAAATGATGCCATTCCCTACGAGGAAGAACACAGGACCATCAACACCACCAGAAATCAGTACCCACTCACCAGCACCACCAACAATCATGAAGTCTATGTTCCAGGCGAGGATGCGGCAATGAGCTATAGTCCTGCTTTCGTGGCTAGTGCAAACGTCATGTGTATGCACAAGAGAGGGCTCCGCACCTGCCTCCGAGGCTGTTTAGAGCAAGGGTCAGCAAACGTTTTGTAAAGAGCCAGACAATGAATGTTTTTAGCTTTGAAGGTCATATCCTCTTTGTCACAATAACTCAACTTTCTGGCTGTAGCATGAAAGCTGCCATAGACAAGATTTCAGTAAGTTATTATGGCTGTGTCCCATAAAACTTGATGGACACTCAAATTTGAATTTCGTGTAATTTTCAGATGTCAACAAGTATTATTTGTCTTTCAATTTTCTCCCAATTATTTAGAAAGGTAAAAACCATTCTCAGCTCCTGGGGCTGTACAAAAAAAGGCCTCAGGCAAATGTGGCTCTCAGTTGCAGTTTCTAGTCTCCTGGTCTAGGGAGTAAAGAAGCCAGAAATGCATGCTTTGGCGTAAACGTGTACGTAAACATTCCAAACCAGACCCACTAGCATAGTATGTCCAGCAAGGGACTTAACACAGTGCCAGAAGCACCAGCTCACGTGGATGACTTGCTGTTCCCCAACGACTTGCCTATATTTGGGGTCTTTCCTGCTGGGAGCATCCGGATCTGTCAAGACCAAGGTGTAGAGTTTACCTGGATCAAGACCATCCCATGCAATACTGGTGGGCCGGTCCTTAACCTGTAGGAAGGAATCAGTTTAGAGTTAAAAAGTCAGAAGTGCTAAAGAAACCAATACTCTTTGACCTTTGGTTCCTCCAAGACAAAACAGAGTAGATTATTAATAAAAGGTAAAGTGTATTGACGCGACTAAGAGCCAGAAGCTTTAGTTTAATATACTCTTTATTTATTTTAGTCCGAGCAACACTATTAAGGCTGGTATCCTAGCGTGTTATTAACAGAAAGAGGTGGGGTCAGGGTTTCAACCCTGGTGCTGACTGAGTCCTCCTAACTACAACCTTACCAAAGACGGGATCTCCAGATTTGGTGATGTTACCCAGGACCTGCTAAATTGAAATCTAAATTAACTGGGCATTTAAAAGTGCACAGAAAATGAGAAAACCGAGGTGGCCAGACGTGGGCAGTGAGTCTGGGAAAAAGGCTGCAAGACAGGCACCTCATATTTAAACATCCCAAACCAAAACTTGCCAGAGCAACTTATTCACACCACTGCCTCGGAGCTTCGAGGCCAACAACTCGCAACGGTGTCCGGCATTCTCGTTTCTCCACTTTCAGCAGCCAGGACCTGGTCCTGCCTCACTTATGGGCGTCACAGGTCAAGGCCAAACGGTATAAAAAAAAAAAGCCCGCTGCCCTAGAGCCTTTCAGCCGCTGAAGTCACTACACCACGATCTTGACGGTTAAAGCAAAGGAGGCCTCGCTGGGCACCGCTGATCACCGGTTACATAATGCGTCCGTCATATGTCCTCCGATGAGGCTCTTGCTCCCCCAAAGGAGGCCTAAAATCCCGAGACCAGGGGTAGGTGGGTGGGGCGGCTCCGGTGTGGCCAAGGCCACGCCATCCTGGGTACCGCCCCCTCCCCGCCCCTGCCCCCTGCGGTCCCGGCCGTTTAGCGGCCTAGACCCCCGCCTGTGCCTTGAAGTCCGGAAAAGTGGATTAATTTCTCCTGCAGGCCGCGGCTCCCCCGCCAGGTGCTGGATTGCAGGTGCTCGTGGCAACCGCAGGCCTGCAGCGTGGGCACCGCGACCCCCTACTATTGGTGGGTCGGGCGCAGGCAGGCCAGAACGCCCTCCCCGCCTCCCCCGGGTCTCCGGCCTGCAGGCCTCGAGCAGCTGCATCCCCGTCGCCCTCGGGTACCTGGGTGGGCGTCAGCACTTTGCCCAGTTCGTTGACCTCCACGCCAGAGTATTTGACCTGCAGCGGGTGCTGCGGCTGCTCGTCCACTTCCTGCAGGCTCAAGGGCCCGGACCACTTGCTGAGGTCCATCGGCTTCGCGGGGCCGAGCGGGAGGGCAGCCGGGAGAACCGCGGGAGACCAGGCCCAGCGCAGCAGCACAGATTGGAAGCCGTCCGCAAACAGGCCGGAGGCGGCGTGAGCCCAGCGGCAGGGGCAACGCACGCGCAGGAGCGGCCGTCCGGCCCCCCCCCCCTCTGCGCTTTGATTGGTCAAACCCGGCGGCGCGTGGGGCCTCGCGCTCTCGGGTTAATGCAACCGGCTTTGCCTCTGTTTGTGCACCGGAGGGAATCTGCAACCCGCCGTCGTGGAGTTCCCCCGTGCCATGGCTCGGCTTGCAAGACCGTTGTTTAAAGAAACGCAATTGAGCTACCCTTGATTTTTTTTTTTAACCTTTTTGCATGATTCTCTCCTCCACTTTATAAATTCAGAAATGGTCAGGCCTTGCTTTTCTATTGCACTTCCTAAAACAAGCCCGGTTACTGCCGCCTCGCTGTAATTTCGCGCATGCTCACTTGTTTGGTAACTGCCCGGGGAGAGGGCGTTAGCGAACTTTCGAGTATTTTTCTCATCGGACATTATATTTGCACCTATAATTGATCCTCTTCATTTCCAGTTGTTCCAAACAAGATTCCTGGGAAATTATTTTTTAAAACCATAATTATTATTCCTATTTTGGTGACACGTGGCTTTGCCTCTACCAACACTCACTGTGGCCACAAAATGCATTCTTTTTGCTAAATATAAAGAGCCCTATTTAATAGTTCTTATCTGATTTGACACTAGGATAGCTTTGACATTGGTAACCACCCCCAGGGATTAAAAAGTTGTTTGTTTTCATTTTTTATTAGGAAGTAATACAAGTTCATTGTAGAAAATTCAGAGAAAAAAAACCAAAAAAGTAAATAAAAATCATTTTTATTCTACTACTTGGATATAAACATCGGTGACAATTTGGGGTATACATTTCCACTTATAAAACTATGAGCATAGATAATTTTGTTCTATTTATGCCCCCAAAATATTGTAATTACATTATACTCTACCATTTTAGAATATCTGTATCAAAATGGGGAGAATTCTTTCACAATGTTTACGTAATATTAGATCACCAGATGTACTCTTTAAATCTTAGAATTTTATATGTCAATTGTACCTCCATAAAACTGAAATTAAAAATAGATCTTCATTATATTAATGGTTTAGTCTACTCTAGATATACCACAATTTATTTAACAAACTTCTTGATGTTGGCATTTATGCTGATCTGTAGTTTTTTCCTTTTACAAATATCACTGACATGGGCCAGCTGAGTGGTGCGTTGGTTGAGAGTTGGCTTGGGGCCGGCCAAGTGGCTCAGTTCGTTAAGAGCTCACTCAAGAGTTTGATCTCTGAGCAACAGTGGTTCAATTCCCGGCCTGAGCTGAGCTGCCGCTGAGCTGCCAACAGGTGGCAAGATGGCTCAGCTAAAAAAAAAAAAAGTTGGCTTGGGACACCAGCTCTGAGCAGCAGGGGTCTGGTTCAGATCCCACATGAGGGCCAGTGACGCTGTGCCCTCTACAGCTAAGATGGTAAACAACAGTTTGACCTGGAGCTGGGCTGCCATGAGTCGCCGGCGACGGTGTAGGCTGCAGTGAGGCTGGTTGGCAGCTGGCCTGAGTTGCCGTGAGCCCCCCGCCAGTGGCCATCCAATGGCTGGTGAGCAACTGCCTCACCCGGGAAGAGCACAATGATAATACCAAAATGGGCCAGTGAAGTGACTTCCTCCACAACTAGACTGAAGAACAAAAGGACAGCAACGTGTCTGTTCCCCTCCCCCAATTCCCCAATTTAAAAAAAAAAGTAAAAAAATATATATATCACTGAAATGAGCATCCTTATACATAAACATTTAAACACCTGGTGGATAGGTTTAGGAAAATTTTATTAGACGAGGGCTAGCTAGGTCAAAGGATATGTACTTTATAAGGGTGAATCACAGCTAGTCAAGTGTCTAGTTAAGTATGGATAGGAAGTAACCCCTTCAGAACGAAGCAGTGATATGATTATTGGTTCTTTCCATCATCCTTTCTATAAATACGTTTTGAGAATCTCAGGAGCAAAAGGAGAAACAAACCCTACCCTCATGGGAGTGTATATTCTAGCAGTGGAGAGAGACATTAGTCAAGTGACATTTAGTGAAAGTAAAATTACAAACTGAGATAAGTGCCTACAGAGAGAAGACAGGTCCATGTGACCTCAGGAGTCACCCTCAGGCTCAGGGTAGGGATGATGCTGTGAGAAGATAGGTGATGAATGCAAAACCTCTTGGGAAAGGCGGAAAGACATTCTAGATATTTCTGCTCCTGGCTACGATTCTTGCCCCTTCCCTACCCCAACAAGCAAAGGATCACCAAGGCCTATAAATTCTACCTCTTTAATGCCCCTCCAATGGGTCCACTTCTCCATGCCACCCCCTTTCCCAGTCACAACTTCAGTGTTGCTCTCCTTGACCACTGCCTCCAGGCTTCCCTTCTAGGCCATTCATCTTTCTCAAATGTCAATCAGGTCAATCCATAGCTCACCCCTCCACTTTCCCTAAAGCCCTCTATGGTTCCCCATTGCCTCAGGTTGAAATCCAGACCTTTAATAGGGTCTTGTAGGCTTCTCCCACCTCCCATGCATTCTCTCCAAACGCTCTTAATTTGTTTCAGTTCCAACTTGTCTTTCTACCTCAGGGCCTTTGCACATGCTGTTCCCTCTTCCTGGGACACTGCCCGCCCCAACCCTTACTGTACTCGTTCCAGCTCACTTTCACTCACCTCAAAGATCACTTCCACATTCTCCCATCCATCAAGGCTGGAAAAATGCTCTGCTCTCTGCAGCCATGCCTCTTCTGTCCTTTCTCTTTTCTAATATTCAGAGCATTTGGGATTACAAGTTTATCATCTGAACCATACCACCACCCACTTGAATATAAACTCCATGAGGGTTACCTCTCTTGTTTACTGGTTCTTATCCCCAGCACTTATAAAGTAATACCTGACACACTTAGTACATGATAGTATCATTATCATTATTATTGTAAGAAAATAAGTGAATTTTTAAAAAACCATCTGGTTGGTTTTAGGTTCAGATCACTAAAGTTTTGCTTTCTGATAAAATATCACATCCAGGAAAGGCAGGCCATATAATCCTGATATCCACGGTGCCTCCTTAATCAGCAGCAGCCGGAGAAAGCAGAGCGCTTTTCCTCTCACTGTTTAAACAGCTCTCATTAAATGCTCATTGGATAATAGATGCCATCCCTCAAGCCATGTGTTAAATAAAAAAGAAAACAGCTATTTGGTCTGAAGAGATGGTTGAACCTTTATAGAAAACGCTCACGCAGAGATTTTTAGAACTTGCTTTAAGCTAGTCTCTGGGACTAAGCACTAAAGCTCATTGGACGTTTAAGAGGTAGGAACGATTTTATGCAGAGCCTATTGGGTGCAAAGTGCTTAATGTGCTTTATTTAGCTCCCTCAACTGTCCTGGGAAGGTGATGGTAATCTCCTTGCTTTATAGACAAGGTAATGGAGGCTTGGAGTAATTGGGAAGGACCACCTGGATCTTCCCCACCTTTCTCTGTCTGTATTAGCTATGGGTTACTCTCTCCGCTGAGGAGAGAGAAGTGGATCCAGTCCCACTAAAACAATGGTTGGCACCAACCAAACCATATTTACTGTGTCCCTACTGTGTGTAGGTGAGTGCTCCAATAGCGACCACTACCACTTACCCAGTGCATGCTATATGCAGCTCAGGACATTCCAATAACGACCATACCACTTACCAAGCGCCTACTCTAGGTATGCTCCAGTGACAATTACCATATACTGAGCACCTACTGTGTGCAGGTCAGAGTGCTCCAGTGAGAAAGGCTAACATTGACTGACCACTGCCATGTGCCAAGCCCTGACCAAAGGCCTTGACACTCAGCGTTTCATTTCCTCTTCACACAAACCCAACGTGGGCGGTACTGCTATTATTCCCATTTTATAGATACCGTAAGTAAACTGAGGCTTGGAAAGGTCTAAGCGGCAAAGCAGCATGAAAGCCCACCTGGCTCCAAAGGCCAGATGCCGAGTCCTTAAGCACACCCTAGCTAGGAGTGCCGGGAATGAGGTGAGGCAGGCATGGCCTCTGCCCTCCAGAAAGCTTTCCTCTATGGGAAGCCACCAGGAAAGCCCCACATGGCAACCCTGAGAATGCACCTCTCAAATCGGCCCCGTGGTAGAGAAATTGGCCAGGGCCCAAGCTGTCCTCTGCTTTTAGGCCAAGGTCATGCTTTCACAAGGCTTCTCACACCTTACTTTGAGCCCAGTGAGACCCACTTCAGACTTTTGGCCTCTGGAACTGTAAAAGAATAATTTTGTGGTGTTTTAGGCCACTACATTTGTGGTAATTTGTTAAAGCACATGCCTTATCCTAAGCCTCAGTTTCGTCCTCTCTAAAATGGGTTTACCAACACCTCTGAGATGATCATTGGTACCCCCAAGTGGGAGCTATTACTGTTATGATATGTTCATGATATAAAAACTCATAAACAGGGCCGGCCGAGTGGCGCGTTGGTTAAGAGCTGGCTTGGGATGCCAGAGAGCCCCGGTTCGGATCCCACATATGAGGGCCAGTGACACTGCCCTCTATAGCTAAGATGCTGAACAACAGCTCAACCTGGAGCTGGGCTGCTGTGAGTCGCAGGCGATGGTGTAGGCTGCAGCCCCTGCTGCAGTGGGTTGCCATGGGCTACCGTATGTAGCCAGTAGCCAGCGTGAGCGGCCAGCAGCCGCCATGAGTGGCCGTCCAGAAGCTGGCGGCAACTGATCTGCCTCACCCGGGAAGAGCGCAATGATGGTGCCAACTTGGGCCAGTGAAGCAACGTCCTCCACAACTAGACTGAAGAACAAAAGGACAGCAACTTGTCTGTTCCCCTCCCCCAATTCCCTACTAAAATCTTAAAAAAAACCCCTCATAAACAAGCAAACAAATTAAAATTAACTAAGTAAAGACCTTTAGTAATCCTACCACCCAAAAGCAATGAACATCTTTCCGTATTTCCTTCCAGACTTCCTTCTGTGCTTATAAATGCAAATATGCATGTATGAAAGTGTGTATTCAATAGAAATTGGGTCAAATTATATTTATACGCTGTTGTATAATTTACCTTTCTTCAC